TCCGTTAAAATAAACTAAATTATTACAGTCTAACTACTATAATCCAAAATTAGTAAAACCTAACTAATTATAATATTATATAATGAAATTATAATTATTAGTTTATAGTTTATAATTATTTTATTAGACAAATAATAACAAATTAAAAATATTTTATAATATTATCTAATTTAAAATGTATTATTGACAACTGTAAGAAAAATAGTACATTACATGATTTATAATGTAAAAATTAATAAATAAAATAAAATATTTGGTTATCAATATAAAAATTAATAAAATACGTACAAATTTTGGAAATAACACTTCAATTTTTCAAAAATTTATTTTTTTAGGTTTCTATAATAAATTTAGTGAAAGAGATTGTTAGTAGAAAGATAGAGATTTCAAATAGAATAAACTTTTTATTTTTTATTTTTTTATACTTGTCATATTATTTTAAAAAATAATTATACCGCTATATACAACAAAAATTAACTACTATACAAAAAATTAACTTTTTTATTTTTCATTTTTTTATGCTTTTTATATTATTTACAAAAATATTTATACAATATATACAACACAAAAATGTAAGGCTCACGGGGGGGACTCGACCGTGAGACATCCCATGAAAAAGCAAAGGTCTTAACCACCACACCACCTTATCACATGTGGTTGTAACTTGCTAATTAATAGAATATATTTATATTTTTATTTCATTTAATGATGTTTGGGAATTATCCCACATCGAAAAATGGGTATTCAACTTTGGTATATAAAAACCTATGTAATATGAATCAAAGCATTTGTATACAAATATTAGGGCAACCTCACACGTGTCGCACGCATATCAGGAGTGAACCGGGTAGAATCGAATGGGAACCGGCGGTTCTTCTCTAGAACCGGGTGTTTCCCGGTTTTGTACTTCAACCGACACCGGCTGTGCCGGTTCCAGAGTCAAACCGGGAAAATCTGGTTCGACTCGCCGATTTTTAAAATATTGGTTAGTACTCTATTGGTACCAGAATAATCTGTTCCTCAATTGGTGTCACAATATCACACTAGCTTACGACTCACCATCAAAGAGATAGAAGAAGAACACACAATATGAGGTGGAAGAAAAATAATTTTTCATTCAATGACAAAAAAGAGGTACACAAAAGCATTATAAACTTAATACAAGTGATCAAATTTTCTCACAATACGCATCTCTTCAAATAGAGGTTCTTACAACCATATTGACTAAAATAACTATCCATTTACTACAATAACTTCTTCCATAACTTCCCATTATACAAAAAGATAAAATTTCAATAAGGCCTAGGATTTATGAAAACAAAATAAAACCCCATCTCAAATCCTTGTCCGAAGAGCACTTTCGGCAATAGAAATCAGCATGATGGCTCTAAATTCAATTTTCAACATCGACAGTAAAATTTGAAACTAAAAAAATATACAAAGCTTGCAGATCTATTAACACTTTTTTTTTAGTGCTAAATAGACGGTCTAGATAATTTGTACAATATACACTATTTTTAGAGCTTGAAATCCTAATTTAATTTACAACCATAATGTTCAAGCAGAGATGATCAATGTAAAGGTTTTCTAATACTTGAATTACAATTGAGGAGTTACTTCTGATTTTCAATATCAAAACTGACTCTTTTCTTTCTTGAAAAGGTTTTCTAATACTTGAATTACAATTGAGGAGTTACTTCTGATTTTCAATATCAAAACTGACTCTTTTCTTTCTTGAAAAATGACATTAAAAAAAGAAAAAGAAAAAAAATTACCATGGATATGGAAAATCCAAAGGCATCAACTAGCGTGGTGACTTCATCGTTCAGATTTTCAATATTTGAGTGAGGGTAAAGATTGTAATAAAAAATCGAAAACA